CATAAGCTCGCTGAACTGTGTTGTCTCTTGTTTCTCTGGAATGCACTCCCTCTCTATTGGGAATATGGACAGCAGTCCTTTATAATTATTTATGAGAACTAATGTACACCTATAGCTGCTGCCTTTTCTAATCTGGTGCCCTTTGTATATATTCCACCTTACTTCATAGTTATAAACTTGGCAGTGGTGTCCATGGGCAGCAAGATCCTGGCTATAGCACCAGAGTTGAAGTCCTACCCTTTGTATATGCAATATTAATGCCTGTTTTACTCATCTCCAGATGCCATTACCAAGCATCTGTTCAGTCAGGTGGCTTAGAAATCTGCTTAGTTGAAAGGAAAAATGAAAGTGCCTGCTGTTTCTTTACTGACTTAAAAATATATAAACATAATCATCAAAAGATTGACTACTTTCATTTAAATGGAACAGTAAGCATTTGACTATTGCAACACTTTACATGTAATCTTTTCTTTGGCCATTAATTAATCAATTCATCTCTTTGACAGTAATAATCCTGACCTTTATTATTCAATATTTTATTTCTTCTTTGTTAAAATTGCTGACCTTTTCTTGGGCTTAAGGCCCCACTTTTTTTTTTAATGATCCGAGAAAAGATAACATGTTTTTCACTATGCTTTGTCTTTGATGTTTATTTATAGTGAAAAGGCATATACGCATAACAGTTTTCCACGGGCCAAATTTATTTTGTAATTCTGAATGCCTGTCATCTAGAGACCATTCATCTGATAGGAAGGCAACATAGTTTAAGAAACTGAGACAAAAATAGGCAAATTTCAGAGCAGCTCTCTATGGGGGAAAGAGAGAGAGAGAGCATGACAAGTTCAGCCCTTGATATCACACTGGGCTGTGGGGAGTGAGTAGTTGTGATAGCTGCTAGCTGTACCTGTAAAGAACATACTGTTTGGCAGGAAAGTCTGGAATAAGAAGTGGTGTATGTTAAAGTGTCTTCCTCTTCGAATTCATCAGGTTTGAAACAAGACACTTGCCCTGTCCTTGGAGAAGAGGCCTTTAGATCATCTCCTTACTTAAAGTGATGTCAAACTCACAATACATGTCGCCCATTTATGGACAGACATTGATCAGATGACTGCTAAAAAATCCTTGACATAGTTGAAAAATACATAGTGGGAACTCCAATCAGCACCATTAGTTTGTTTAACTAAACGTTGGTGAAATTAATAAAAAGAAGCCAAGATAAATATGTATTTCCTGTGACTTTTCTGATTCTGCATTAGCTTTTGAGAAAGGTCCTGATTACCTAGCAACAAGGCATCATATGATCAAGATGAGCGTCACTGTTTTGTTTTCAATCATGGTAGAGTGCTTCAATACTTTCATTTAAAAAGCAGTTGATAGCAATGATTCTACAATTATTTGCAGCAAGAAAACTTTAAAGGGCAAATAGATACAGCAGGAGCCAACCTCCAGTAGGAAAATTATGCAGAAAAGAAAAAAAAATCAATCTGGAGTCAGGTTGTATATACAAGATCTTAGAAAAAACAACCTGTATGTATTGCTACATTTTCATATACCAAATTCAACAGTTGAATTGGCAGAAAAAAATCACTTTAAAAATAGCTTCCCATAAAGAATACTTCACACCTACAATGTAACTGTCTGAGAAGTGATGAATATTTCCTGAAAAATATGTAATTAGTGCTTTTTTGGGACAATTATGTATTTCTAACCTTATACCACAAATAATGTGTGTAGAATTATAGCACTACGACTATAGACTTTTTTTTGGTTCATTCAAAGAGGTAAAAGTATAGCATTTAGCTGTCATGCATTGCATAATTTGATGTGCCTCATGCCAGTAATAGAAATGTATTTTGAAAAATGCTAACAGATTTTATATCTAGGCAAGCTGCAGCCAAAATGATAAAAAGGGGAAAAATGAAAGAGTCATTGAGTATAATTAGTGGTTGTCAAGTTTCAATTTGCTTAAATTATGCTCACAAAAATAGTAGGATGTTATGATTTCTACTTGCAGCTGTGCACTCCTTCTGTGGAAGTGTACCATTCATCAAAACTATTAATATCCTTTAGAAGCTTACTGTGGTTTATTGAATATTTTTGTAATGAGTATAGCTTAAAACTACAAATTTTTCAGCATCTTCCCAAAAATCTAGTTAGGCTTTATTTTCCCACTAAAACAAGCAGAATGGGATAGAAAAAGCAACACTTCCAGATGGGAAAGTGTGCAGTTTCCAGAATTGACAAATATTGTCAATTCCTTTCCTGGGAAAAGAGAAATCCATCAAAATGTTATTGTTTAAAGAGCTACTTAATATTATTTACCATGTGTCTTAGGTGTTGTAACAAAATGTGTATTATAATGGACATGCCCCCCCCCAAACACCACTTCTTAGGAAGGACAACTGGTAAAACAGAGAAATTCATTGCTCTAGAACAGGAGTAGGCAACCTTGGCTCTTTTATGACTCAAGGACTTCAACTCCCAGAATTCAGGAATTCTGAGAGTTGAAGCCCACGAGTCATAAAAGAACCAAGGTTGCCTACCCCTGCTCTAGAATATGAATAAAAGTTGTTTTCTAAACACTCAAATATATCCCATAGGTTTCAAATCTCCATTCTCATCCATGTACAAATTCACCAGGTATCTGCAATATAACAGAGTGAGGAATCCTTTCACAGAAGTGTAGGGGGTAGTATTGTGTTGCAATGCGTAAATGCTTACGAAACTGGGGGTGGTTTGTAGATTTCCAGGATGGTAGGTATTTCACGTCTATAATACAAGATTCAGTTAAGGAGCTGCACAGAGTGATGATAGCAATAGCGCTTAGACTTATATACTGCTTCACAATGCTTTTACAGCCCTCTCTAAGCGGTTTACAATGTTAGCATATTGCCCCCAACAATCTGGGTCCTCATTTTACTGACCTTGGAAGGATGGAAGGCTGAGTCAACCTTGAGTTGGTCATGATCGAACTGCTGGCTGTGGACAGAATTAGCCTGTAATACTGCATTCTAACCACTGTGCCAGCATGGCTCCTTGATGGGGGATTATAACATAATGACATTTCGCTGAGATTTACAGAAGTCTATTTTGCAACACAGCCAGTGTGTGTGGAGGCTGTTTGTGTGTTGTGAATAGTAAAGCCCGCTTTCAGAAACCTGAAGCCTGTTTGCCATTTTTTCTTGCTAGGTAGGCTTAGACATCCCCAGTCTACATTCATTCACCTCACACAGGGGATATAAATCTGTACATGGAAACCCGAAGGCGCTTTTTCAAAAGGCAACTGGAGTGTTTTTTTTTTTTCTTGAGAAGGAAAATTTTTCACTTCTTATCCAAGAAGCTTCAACAGTTGTGATGTGGGGCACGAATAGGTACTGGCAGTTTTTTTCTTCTTCCACAAGGAAAAAAAAAAAGTCCAATTGCCTTTTGAAAAAGCATCTTTGAGACAACTATGACCTGGATGACTGAGAATCTCCACAGACATCTGAATATAGAAAGTTGTATGTCCTGAGTCACACATGCAGTATAAAGACAGGTGACTCAAAACCCTCGGCAAACCTTTTGGAGAAAAGGAGAAAGAAGCTTTGTGCTGAAGTGGAAAGTGGGACACAGCTAAGATTCCCCTCCTTTCTCAGATTAAAGTTGGAATTTGTAAGGAAAAGAGTTTAACCATGTAATAAATTGGCACACATATAATATCTGTTCTAAGAGTCTTCTACTTTTTAGAAGAACAGGAGAATGTTTGCTAAGAGTGGCATTAAGTTTAATTTCTTTTCCTCTACATTTGTGCCTCTGATGATCATTATTTCTACCAATTTAGATATTGTATACTTTATGTGCTGTATTTTATTCATCTATTTACTAATATTTATATGCCCTCTTTGCGTATTGGCACCTCAATGTTATTTGTAAACAAGTGCAAATCAACATCTGCTCAGAATTTCATATTGTCTTGTACATTTTCTTCTAAGAAGTCTGTGATTCCAGGAGCCCGATGTTACTGCGTGTACACTGATCGTTTTGTAGGAAATGCACTATAGAATATATTTTCTATCATTTCCCCCCTTTATTTGCCAGTAAGGCAGGTCAGGTGACCCCTGTCTCTTTCACATGCAAAGTTAAGGTAATGGGAGATAATGGCATCTCTCTGAAAAACAGATGGAGAACTTCCAAAACATCACAGCCTGGCAGAAGACAGAGCTATGGTGAAGAGACCCAGAAGGTTTCTAGGAGAGGAACTTGGAGATCTCCAACCTTTCATTGTGTGGGCTCAGCCACAATACCACAGTCAGTAAGTAGACAAGAAGAATCCCAGGGAAAGGTAACTAGTGCCTTTACTGTCTATGGAAATTCTCAGTCATCCAGGTCATGTCCCAAAAGTGCTTTTTTTGGAATTTATTTTCCTTGAAGGGGTTTTGCTTCTCAACCAAGAAGCTTCTTCAATTCTTCAGTTCCAGAACTGAAGAAATTTCTTGGATGAGAAGCGAAACGTCTTCAAGGAAGTCCAGTTGCCTTTTGAAAAAAGCACACTTGGGATAGTGCCTTTACTATTTTACAATGTAACGACATCATTCTCTAAATGCAATGTACAAGGAGGTAAATAAAGCACACAGCTTCCAGGCAAAGAATGAGGAAATATCCAGAAAGAAATACCAAATGCATTTGCTTACAATAAAAGCACTGAAGAATATAGAATTCATATAGGGTAGCTCCTTCCAAAAATATAAAAGGAAAATTAATTAAGAAAATCCTAGGCACATCTATTGCTCACTGTAGAATCCAGATGACCAAAGAAACGTTAAATGCAATTCCTTGATATTTAAAGGTTGCCCATCTTCTGCAATAACAAGTAATGAATATAGCTTCAGCCTTCTGCTAAAATGAAACACAAGACAAGCAAATAAGCCTTATTTCCCACAATCAAGGAATAATCTGGAAATTATCCTGATCCCTCTAAATCTGTGCCCCGAGTAAAAGGTTCCAGAATCATGGGTACTTACCCAAATCTGCAGTTTTACCCTCTTGTCATTCCTGTAAACAGTCTTCACTTTGAAGTCAATTCCCACTGTACTGACAAAGGCAGGTGTGAAAGTGTCATCAGCGTATCTGAAAAGGAAGGAAGTCTTGCCCACACTACTGTTGCCAATGATCAGGAGCTTGAACATATAATCAAAGTTCTGGTCCGAAACATCCTTGGGTCCATATCTGGCATCTGTTACCGAAGCCATCTAAAGAAAACAAGAGCATCGTAGACTAAATGAAGACAGCTATTTATTTCTATTTAGACTTATCAATCAAGTATGTATGTAATGCAGGTTCTAGTCTCAAAGGAAAAAGGTGAAAGACTCTTTGGAGTCAATCTTGACTCTTGCCATGACTGCATAAATATATCCCTGTGTTTTTCTTGCTGGCGATATGAACATGATTTGCCTTTTTTCTTCTAAGTTACTGTAGAAAGCTAGGAAGATGGCCTTGGAAGAGATATTCAGAAACTGTTATGTAAACAAAAAATACAAAAGCATACCTTAAATCCTGGGAAAACATATAGCCATTAAGAAGAGATTCAGAATGACTCCTCCTAACTCACTATAGTGTAAGAGGAAGGGAAACAAAAGCACAATCAGTGTTGCAAAGTTCTATTAGTATCGTCTATCTCAATATAATAAGTATTAGTCTTCTTGTTGAGTTGCTTTCCAGACCTGATCTATCTTGTAAGGCTGACAGATTCTTAGAGGAGATCCCTTTACATCAGCAGAACCTTAATTTAGACAGATTTCAGCAAGTCTAATTTTAAGAATGCCACTCTTTGGATCTAACCCTCCTTCTGTGCAAAAGCTGATGCCACATATTTATAAAAAGTTATCCAGATAAGCTGTGAATGCCTTAGAAATAAAGCTTACTCTCTTCCATATATGCTGTATTTGCCCTGTCATTTTGGCAAACATATGCTAACAAGTACAGGGGGAAAAAAATCATCTAATGCTTACACATTATTGCAAATTATTTATGACAAGGATATAACTAGAAAATCTGTTTTTTAATATATGTAGTATTGTTTCCTGGCTGGAAACAATTACCTCAAGTAACAGCTAGTCAAATACATAGGATCTATTGTGCTTGGACTCATGCATAATATAGCCTGCAGGGAATTAAGAATATGTATTGTTTTATTGTGTCTCATTTTAACAATGTATATAGATGCCCATCTCACAATACAGTGTCTCTAAATATATTAAAGGATTAAAACTTAAACAAAAATACCTTACATAAAACAAATAATAACTAGAAGCAACAAATAAATATAAATCTACGTGTGAGATCTAAGAACATGGCACTTCTAACATTGGACTGGAACCAAACAAATCAACCAAAAGATTTGACTTAACCTTCTACCCAAAGGCCTGGGCAGGGGATCAACCGGCTCTTTACAAAAATCTAACAGATTCTGGACCATCTGATTTATTTATTTTGAGTATGGCATATCATACACGGACTAGCAATATATATTAATGTTGTGTTCTTTGTATTCCCCCCCCCTTAATCCCCTATGCATATCCTGATCACCCATTAAGGGTGATTGCCCTTCACCATTGATCGCCCATTAAGGGTGATTGCCCTTCTCCATCTGCATACAGTTTCATGCCCGTTGCTGGTTGGCTAACTAGCAACAGGGTCTTGCCAGCCAATGGAATTGTGTGATTACA